CATGATGATATCTTTAATTGGTGAATATTTTTGTCATTTTTGGTAAAAACTGATATTTTCGACTTCTTGTTGAAAAGCGCGAGGCCAATCGCTTTGATATTATAGTATACATATAGGCACCTCATGTAGACTTCTCAGATTTGTTCATTTTGTAATGATATATTCAATTCACTAATTTTGATGAATATTTTTGTCAGTTTTGGTAAAAAGTGATATTTTTGACTTCTTGTTGAAAAGCAAAAGTCAGATTGCTTTGATATTATATATAGGCACCTCAAGTGGACCTCATTTCGTGATATCTTCAATTCTCTAATTGAAATGTGCATTGCTAAAACAGCGGGGCTATCTCAGCCAATGGCTGCTTGTCTTATTTTCTTCAATATTTCTGAATATGGTAGTCAATCCACTATTTTGAACTCAACATGGAAAATGAAATAAAGTTCATCAATGCGAGACTGAGATCCAGTTCCAGAAAAGTGAAAATGTGTGATTTTGATCTATTTGGGGATTAAAAATGGCTGCCATTCGGTCATCTTGAATCAGATCATGGAACAATTGAATGTGCACAAGTCTGATATAATGACATGTACACCCAACAAAAATAAAAAAATGAGACCACCAGACATTTGAGTTTATAATTTTTCTTTATTATCAGAATTAATTAAAAGTAAATTTTGGGAAATTTTACAGAAATTTGTAAATAAAAAGAAATATGAAAATCATACTTGAAACAAAAATGTATTACTTAAGTTTTGCTGCATCCTGACTTTTAAACCCATTATAAACCCAGTACAGGAACAAACTGTCATAAAGTTGTAATTTTTGCATGAAATATAAATTAATCATGTTGATAATGTGAGAAAAGTAACATGACTTAAAAAAATCTAATCAAATCAAAGCTACTAAAAACAACCTGCAGTTTGTTTCAAGCCACCCCATTGGTCAATTTAAACCATTTGTGGAGCAGCCATCATGTAGACTTATGAGATACGCTTTCTTCAACAATAGATTCAAATTCAATAATATGAAATGCAATTGAAAAAAATTTGGAAATATGATAAATAATATTGCACTTTAGTGAATTGGAAATCTAGCGTCAAAAATCCACATCTCTTCTATGTCAAACTTTCCCCATTCATAATTTACTTAAGTTAGTAAAAATAATACTGAAAAAAACAGAAAATGTGAGACAAATTTAGAGGAAAATTTGACATGAGAAGAGTATAGAAGCTGATCAAAATGACAATATTAAATCACTTCATTGTTGCGGTTTACACAGAGTAATAAAATAATACTTATAATTACAGCCAAACCATAGAAAGCTTACTTATATTGTGAAATAGATACATGTATAGATACTCTAAGCGTGATTATTCATTGGTTTTTGGTTTTTAATTTCACTATTTTTGCTGACAAGTAAATTCTGATATATTAAATCACTGCTAGTTTGTGAATTTAAAAACCAGTGAAATTGCTATAAGCATTAAAATAGCGAAATTAAACGCCAGTGAAAATGAATTGTTTACAGTATTTCAC